TTCATAATGTTTGGAGGATGTTTTCCCACCTTAATATCATTGTGGGAATGTTTCATAAAAGATTAGAGTATAATCTGGTGCTCCAAGCCACGCTCAACATGCTGCAGGGAGAATGTGATGTCTTAGTTTAACTTTTAACGTTTCAGGAACGTTATATAAAGAAACAAATCTACCCTCTCTGTGTTCTTTGAATAATTAATTAAAACATGTGCTCGACAACATCATTGCCAGTGTCGTAGGAACTTTCCCTACAAGCTCGAGAGTCTTGTGACTAAACTGCATTCAAAGGTTAACAGGCGTAAACATTTACACTGCTGAACGATCAAATGGCCTAAACTGTGCATTTGACTTTGATTAGCGACCTGCTTTTTATGACCTGTAACAAGCACACACGGCCGTGACTCTCATGCCAGCTACTGACATGAACTTGAAGCAAAAATGTAGAAAAAGCATTAGAGTGGTACCACAACACAGTGCGTTGTTGACAAAAGAGAGACAAAGAGCTGCTGCAGTGGGGCATGAAAAGCTAAGAGAGAAGTATAAAATGAAACACGATCCTCCCTTTGGTAGAGCCCCTCTTGTTAATCTCTTATTACTCTTCAGTTCCTGGATGCCTGCAGTTGTATCACCCTTATCCATTTCAGGGCTTCTTTAGCCAACGTTTCAACCTGCTTCCATGTCCTGTGCTTGGGTCCTCATTATACCTCCAATTACACATTTTACTAGAATTAAATGTTTGTGGTTAACGATTCAAATAGTCGTGTTGATTGGCCTCTTTGGTCGACACCAGCATAAAACACAGCTGTTGAGATGCCAATAAAGTCGGTACTGGAAATTTGAATGTACGTAATCAGTCTCACTCTAGAATGATGGATTTAAAGTTGTTTAGAAACGCTTTCCAAACTGATGGGCAGCAACAATTACTTCTCTAAGATCACTGCTGCTGTCTTTCTTGCTTGGTTTGTGGTTAATCAAGTGCATTTTGCATTTGAGCAGCAGCCTCTTACTTCTTAAGGAAGCATTAAGTGCAGCTCTGTATAATATAACATTCTTTAAAAATATGAGACTTCTGCAGTAAATCAATTTAGATGTTTTAGCGACATGTCAGAGTCTGTGCAGGCTGTTAGTGATGTGGAAGAAAACGTGCAGTACATACCAGAACACTGTATTTATTGTAAGAGCTATAATAGGAATAAATACAACACTGATACCAAGTTTAGTAGCACAGTTCAGGCATGATTAATACTATCACAAAATAGTTATAGCATAATTAAAACGGTGCAGACCTTTGACAAACTATTTCACAGCACAGTGCGTCTCTTTATTGATCAGTCATGTATAGTATTTCATTTTCCAAAGCGAATGTTTTTTACAAAAGAAGAAGTGATACTTTATCATAAATGTATAATACTGCTCTATTCAACAAAAATATAGTAATCATGTATTTGCATTTATTATGTCTTTTTTTTTACTGTGTAAGTACAGTACAAGTCCTGCTTTCAGTGTTTGCATGATAGTTCTTTGAATTCTTACAATATACATGTTTGAAAAATATAATGCAAAACAAATTAGTACACTCGGTCGCACAAAAATGTGCACAAAAACATACAATCTAACCTGAAAACACTCTAGTTCCCTATTAATGTTTAATTCATAATTGGATTTGCATAGCCAGAAACTCTAACTAATGGGCAGAGTGTGATTTAGTGTGATTAATCTCACTAATCATTACAAAATATCAGGAATCGAACAGGAATAACTCGCTCTAGGCACTCGTTCCTGTGCTCAGCGCTGTTTGTTGTGGGTGCAGGTGCCAGCAGCACGCTCGTGGTACAAAGAAACAACAAAAAACACGAGTAAATACCTACTTCTTGAGGATTTTGTTTCACAGCAGAAGATATTTAAGTGAAAGACGAGGACAGGGGCAAATTACATATCTCGTGGAAAATAACGGTTCAGTATAAATCTTGTCTCGTGAATGTTTTCCTGCCTCGTCTTGTGAGCGTCCTGCGACACCTTGGCCTTACGCTCCGACCTCCAAGGAGAAGGTCACGCTGCCCAGGTAGCGGTCGGTGGGAGAATCGTTAATGATGCCCTTTCCGTTCAGTTTGCATTGTACTTGGACGTTAGCGCCTTGCTGCACGCC